TGTGAGCTTCTGGAGGGCAAAGATTTCATGATGTGTTATTTCTGCTGTAACCCAATGGTGCCAAGCACAGTGCTGGGCACACAAGAGGCACTTAATAAATACTTGTCAAATTTCAGAGAACCAGCCCATCGCCTACTCACCCTTATGTTTGGGACTGACCCCTGTTTGAAATACTCCGAAAAGTGGTTCTGTCTTCTTTCTTAGAAGACAAAGAAACTTAAGAGAGCAAAAATGTCACATGGTTTCACTCCTCCTACCCAATCTCTGCTTTCTTCCCTCCCCCCCTAGATTTAGATCCTGGAATCTCTAGGAATGGAGTTGAGTCACCCTATCATGGAATGGAGAGGGGACCAGACAGCTTAAGGACACGTTCCCTCTACCGAGAGGTAGCTTGATGGAATAAGAAGAGCAGTAGACTAGAATGGGTTAAAGTCCCAGAACCGCCACTAACTTGTTGGGTGACTTTATGCAAGTCTCTTAACCTCTTTGGGCCTCAGGCTCCTCAGCAGCAAAACCTGAGGGAGAGGTTAGATAGGTCCCTCCTGGCCCTGACTTTCTGCCCTTTCTGGAGGAGTGGCCCTGCCCCTTCCTATGGCACAGTACCTCTCAGTTCCACCTTGCCACTGTAGCTGCCCAGGTAGCGATCATCAGTGGAGGGTGTGTAGCACTCATAAACACCGGCATCCTGGGCCTGCAGGCGGGCGATCTTGAGCACCACGGCATCACCCTGCAGACGCTGCACCTGCACTTCGCCGGCTGCAACACGGGGCCCAAAGACAGCGTAGGAGAACCGGGTATCTCTGGTACTGACAATGCCCAGTGCAGCCTCTGGGGCCTCGGGCCTATACAGGAACCACTCAAAGTCCTGCCGGGCAGGGCCCTCGTAGCCAGTAACATTGCAGGAGATGGAGACGGCTGTGCCAACCACGCGGTACAGTGGCCCCTCAGGGACCAGCACCTCTCGGGCACAGCACCCAACTCCTGTAGGGAAGGAAAAGAAAAGTTAGAAATGCCTGGGTCCCCATTGTATTCCCCCGCTACCAGCACCATTTTTAACCCCTGCCCCTGAGAGGAAAAGAAACGTGGAGAAAGTTGGTATGCAGCTTGGGCTGTGTTCTGAGAACAGGGAAAGGATGCTGGAAGGTAAAACACCTAGGTCTCGAGGAGCTGCTATAGAGCCAGGTTTGCCTCAGAACCCAGAAATATCCATTTCTGGCACGCGAGAAGCAGAAAGAACGTCTGCTTCCTGTTCTAACCATTTCCTGATTCCAGCTGTATCTTGATTCCTTCCCCTCAGCCCCCACTCATGTCTGTGGTTCTCACTCTGGCCTGGTCAGTGCAGCCTTCTAGCTAAGGATTCTGAGACTACATGTTCCCCCTTTCATTTGAGAGAGGCTGGCAAAATCTTGCTCAGAAGGGGTTGTTGGCTCAGCCATGTCACCTGGGCCAGGGAACTCCAGACAATGGAGCCAGTGGCCCGAGCAGGACAGGGCACAGACCCAGTCATTTCTCGCCACACATTGCCCTCCCCCCTCCAGCTGTGCAATGAGCTCACTGCTTCTCCTACCCTACAGAGCTTCAGAGGCAGCTGAGGCTTATGAGGCAGGAACCGGCCTCTGCCCCAGCCTCTGGAGGCAGAAGATCCCCCATCCCATGCCTGCCAATAATTCCATGCTGGCCCAGCTGATGCACAAAGCACCCGCCCCCAACTCTCTAACAAAAGCCTTCATTTGCATATGGTGTGCATCATTTACATATGGCTCCCTTTCTCTAGCTGCTCCTCCCCAAGTTTCTCTCCTCAGGCCAAAACTCTCTTCTTTACCCTACCTCCATTCCCAGGTCCTATCCAGCCCCAGAAGATACTCCAGTGGCTTGGAGGGCTCAGCTTCTCACTTTCCAACCTAGCCCCACTACATGAGATCACAGAATAGAATGTAAGGAGGGCTAGGGCAGACCTCCGCCTCCATTTTACAGATGAAAAATAGTAAGGCAAGAGAAGTATACTGTCTTGGCCAAGATCCTACTGTCCTTGGATGGCTTCCAGAAGTCCCTGCAGAGGAATAAAGCTGGAGAGGAAGATGGGGAACTCCAAGGTGAGTGAGGCCTGAGGGGATGACCTCACTAAACAAAATGTCACTCCCAGGGGCATCCCCATGGCCTGTCCACAGGGGCTAGAGGAAAACACCAAGTCCAGAGTTAAACTCTGCCCTCTGGCTCCACCAGAAGGGCTTCTTTTGAAATCTTCTACTGAGACAGGCCCTTTACTGTGGCTGAGTTTCGGGAAGAACTTGTGATAGCTTGGTTAGAGCGCAGGCTGGTTAGAGTCAGCCCCACTTCTGTCCCCAGCAATATGGCCTGGACCCATCCCTTCCTCTCCCAGGCCTCAGTTTCCACACTGAGAGTGAGTGAGCATGACTCCGGAGAGCCCTGCCCAAAGGCACTTCACAATCAGGGTGCTGGCAAAAAAGGCAGGGCTGACACCTTCCTCCAGCCTCCATCACCCCTGGCCTCCAGGCAGACTCTGCTCAGAAGGGCCCCCTCCCACCTTCCTGGATCCACAACTGCTGATGCTTGGAGATCCCATGGGAAAGTCACCGCCACCACCTTAGGAAACCAGCTGCCAGGCAGTTCTCTCCCTAGCCAGGTCCCCTCCTTTGTGTTAGCAGAGAGGGAAGGGAGAACAAACAGACTTTCTTTGCAGTCAGACAGATCATCTGGGTTCAAATCCTAGACCCAATACTCAGGAGATGTGTTCTCTGGGCAAGTTACTCCATTTTCCTCATTTTCAAAATGAAATGTAAGTACCCACAGATCTCAGCAGGCTATTCCATCTCTGTGCATCTCACTTACCCTCCTCCCCTGGGCTCATCTCTGCTCCACACTGCCCACTGGGAAAAACAATCCAAGTGCTAGGTAACCAGGCCCTCTGACATCCTCCTGCCTCCCACTCAGGGCCCTAAGGAGGATTCATTCTAGTCCTACAGGGCCCAGAGACCTATGCAGCAGGCAAACTGGTTGGTGCCACTGTGGGGCAGTTCTAGAAAAGGCAGCTGGGGCTACCTACTGTCAGCCTGCTCCGAGACTATGGCAGCTCCAAATCCTGGTGGCCAGGCTACCACCACCCTCACTCTCACTCCCCACACTGTGCTCTTACTTCAAGGGTTTCAGTCTCCTGAACATCTGTACAGGCAGTCTCACTGTCTTGATGCCATTACTCCGCCCCAGACCGTCTCCCACAGGGAGCCCTCCAGTTCATACCCAAAGCAATCGCACAGTCACTGCCCTCATGCATCCTTGCAGCAGTGGCCCAGAACACCCACCAAGGCAGAGACAGGGTGCTTAGAGATCCCAGCATCAATCTCCATGGAGCCTTGTTTCTCCCAAGGCAAGGAAGCTGAGACTAAGGAGAACTAAGACTAAGTGACAACTGGTGGGAGGCTATAGAGCCAAGTGCCATCTGGGAGAAGGAAAGTGGGGCAAATAGGGACCCAACCCAGGTCAGAGATGGGGCTGAGAGAGGGAACCGGGCCCAAACCCAGAGGATGAAATGTATGTGTGTGGGGGGGGCGCAATTAGGGGAGACCTACTTCAAAGATCCTAGGCAGAATCAGCCCCTGGGCCTCCAGCCAATTCGGGGCAATTATGAAGACTGGCAGGCACTGCCCACGCAGGGCGGGCACCTCAGGCTGGGTCTGAAGCTGAGTGTGAAGCAGAGAGGCGTCAAACCATTTGGGCACAGTGACCCCAGGATCCGAGTGTGCTGGCGGAGACATAGGGCCTGGCCTTTGGGAGCCTGGTGGTCCCTAGGGTTGGCACCTCGGTGAGTCCTCACTGTGCCCAAGGCTGGGGCCTAGAGCTGGGGTGCCTATATCCACCCAGACTAGAATGGCGGTCTGGAAGTGCCCCTGAGGACGCAGGGCGGGAGTGTGGGTTGGGCGCTGCGAAGGGCTCTGAGGATAGAGGAGGGCCAGGCTGGGCGCCAGGTAGCAGGCACCTGCCGGGCGGGGCTGGGGGTTAAGGCAGGGGCCAGACTTACCCAACATTAGCAGCAGCAGCAGCGCAGGCAGCGGCGGCGTGGGACCGAGGGAGCCCATCCTACGAGGCCGGCGCTTGGAAGGCTCCAGGGGGCTGCGCGGGCTCTGGACGGCCAGGGATTCGGGGGGCGCATGCCCAGGTGGGGGCGCAAAGCAGAGCCGCAAAGCGTGGGTTCTCGGAGCGAAGCTGAGCCGAGTGGGAGCTCCCAAGTCCCCTCCCTCCTCCTCCCTCTTCCTCCCACTGCTTTTCCTCCCTTCTCAACCACTCAGTCCCGCCCCGCCCCGCCCGGGCTCCGCCCCCGCCCCGGTCACCGGCTACCAGCCCCTCCCCGGTCCCGTCTCGGTTCCCAACCCCTCCTCGACCCCTCCTGACCCCTTCTCAGCCCTGTTCTTGGGTCCTGGGCCTCGGCGCATCCCCGGTTCCCGGCTCCGCGCCGACTTCGGCCCTAGCCCCGACCCCACCCCTGTTCCCGGCTCCTCCCAGACCGGGGTCGCGGACCCGGGACCCTGTCACTGCCCCGCCCACCTCAGTCCTGGCCCCGCCCTTCTGGTCCCGCCCCTATTCCTGGCTCTGCTGGGAACCCGGCCCTGGACCTGGGCTCCGGCTCTGCCCCGACTCCAACCCGTGCACGCTGGCAGCGCCTGGGCTCAGCCAAATCCCATCCGCCACGTAACAGGGTGCACCCCCACTCTCACCTGCTGGCCTTTCCATGAGAGTTGGGTGCAGGGGCTCTGAGGTCGGTAAGGTGACTGGCCACGCACTTAGAATTTAGTTATTTGCTCTGGGCCGCTAGGCCTCGTTGCAAACTCCGCTAAAGTGGGCATGGGCGGGACCCAGGAGTTCCAGACACAGAGGATCTGGGCAGAAGGGCGAGTCAGGGCCCAGAAGGTCACTGGAGACCTGTTTGCCACTCCCTCAGGGCAGAACCAGAGGAAGCGGGTTAGGAGGGTGGGCCGGCTGGGTGCCATCACTTCCTGGTTGGTGATCCTGGTCTATTTGCTTAACCTCCTTCTACCCCAGTTTTCTTGTTGGCAAATTGAGGTGGGATGGCATCCACCTCTAAGAGTTTTTGTGAGAGTTAATTGAGATAATATACATAAAGTGCTTGGCAAAATAAGAGATAAGGTGTTTTTGTTTTTAAATAAAATAGGAGATAAGGTGTTTTTGTTTTTAAATTATTTAAACTGCTTGCTAAGAGGTTTTGTTTAGACTTCAGAGGGTGAACTTGTGGTTCCAGTGAAGGAGCCTCTATTTCCAGTGAAGAAAAATGGTCTTCCCCTTGCACTGGGAAGTGGGGGCCTGCCCTGGAGGTGGGAGAATGGAAGAGGCCTCTTTCCTAGGGGCTTTGTCTCTGCTTCACTAAGTAGAAGGCAGGGAGTGGGGAGAGGCAGGAAGGTTGTGGCCAGAATGGGAAGAAGGGAAGCCAGGTCCAGAAAGCTAAGGCTATTATAGTGACCTTCTGTGGGAGGTTACCCCAGAGCTCATCCAGCATTTTCACCCTCTAACCCCCTACCTATACCCACTCCCACAATACCCTTCTACTCACTCCCCACCCCCTTAGCAGAGGAGGAAACAGACGCTGAGAGGGGACGTAGCTCGAGCCAGACCAGACTTTCCCAGACTTCCTATTCCCAGAGCCTGGTACAGTTCCTGGCTCAGAGGAGGTGTTCAACTGAAGCCACATTCAGAGACTGACCAGAGAAGCTCGGAGGCAGAATGCTGGGGACCACCAAGGGAAATCAGAAGTCCAGGAGCAGGACAGTGGATGCCCCTTTCCTCCCACTCTGACATAGGCACAGCCTGATTTCCCCAGATTCATTTCACCTAAATCCATGCACAGGCCAGGTTGAGCTGTATGAAAACTGAAAGGCACAGGGAAGTTCTTGGAGGAAAACCAGTCCCTTTATTTGGAAGTAGAGTGGCTTTAATGCCTTGCTGATGTTTGAGAAATGTTGCCAGAACTCTTCCTTATCATCCTAGATGCCATTTATGGGAGGCCTACAGGATAAGGCCCTTTTGGATATGTTGACATCAGAAATGTCCAAACCTGTAGAGAATTTTTACGAGTTTATTTGAGCCAAACATGACAATTACTGGAAGCAAATCTCAATGAATTGAGAAAATGACAGTTTTGCAGCTCATTTTATACATTAGAATCAAAGAAGGAGACAAAAGGAGGGTTACATAAAATCCATTGGTGGTAGATTAAGGGAACAGGAGAAAGCAAAATGGGGAAATCTCTGAGACTGGATAAAAAGGCAAAATAGAGAAATGCATACTTCTCTTACATTGGTGGGTACAAGATAGTTAATAATTAACATTTACAGCACATAGAGGTGGTATTCAAGGAACAAGATAACAATGAGGATTCTGTGGTCTCGTGCTCTTTTGCTGGTGGTTGTACCTTGAGAGGCCTGGAAAAAATTACTCTGACCTTTCAAAGGTATGTTATCTTAGATGCAAAAAGACAAGAGACAGGCTCACTTAAGGTAAAGATAGACCTTTGTCAAGGAAGCTAGCTACAGGCCTAGGATGGGACTACCTGCCATGACTTTATTTTAGTTAGGAATTTTTGTGTTTAAATCATCCTGTGTGGTTACTTTCAGTCTTCAGGTTTGTAGGGCCTGCCACAAGGCCTCCACTGAGGTTGTCAGATTTCGCATGTAGCCCCTTTTTCATCCACAGATATTATTTCTAATCTTCATAGCGTATTTTGTCAGGTGGTGTCATTTAACAGCAGAGAAGACTGAGGTTCAGCA